TACAGTGAGATATTTTGCTGCTTACCTAATAATATTTTCCTATTAAAAAATAATTACTTGCTAATCTTTAATTCAGATATTTTTTAATCCTTTTATAATAGTGCATTCAATATATTTTCGTAATAACAGCGTAAGTTTCGTTTATAGATATCAATTCTAAATAATTTTTAGTGCACTGTGTTATACAAATTATGATAATTTCATATTTCGATTTAAAGAATATTTTGTTTCAATAAAAGAATCGTACACAATTATAAAATTATTAGGATTAATGAACTAAAAACAAAAAACGAAACTTTGAGAAAAAATTTATTTGAATTATTTTTCTTATAATAAATTAATTCTAATAAATAGTTCGATCACGCTTATACAAACTTTACGTTTATAATATTTATCATTTTCTTGTCATAAGTTAATTCGGATTTTTTGTAAAGCATAAATGCATAATGAAAATAGTATTTTATCATTATAATTCGCAATGTAACACGTAAAAATAATCTCACTGTATTACAACGTACATTTGAAATACAGTAAGTAATTTGAAAATATACATTTAATTTCTGATATCCAGATTTCACGGAAAAATAATTATTGTTTAATTATATCCAAATAAAAAAAGAAGATTAACAAAACAATTGTGTATTTTTTGCAATGATATCAATAATATTTTCTTATTATTCGATGCAGAACTACGTGTAACAAAACATTTTTTTAATTGTTATGTCATGATGTAACAGTTTATATGACTATTTTAAAATTTGAATGTTTAAATTTAAATACAGTAATATACTATTTGCTACTTAAAAGTTTTTATTTCGATATTAATCCTGTTTTTATTTTTCGACATGCTATATAAAGAAGTAAAGTGCTAAATTTTATTAAGTTTTAATTTATTCATGTTCTTCTAAATAGTATTTATTACACTTTATCTTCTGTAAACCTAGAAGAAAAATTGGTCTTATTTATACATATATACATATTTAAGTATAATTTTTTTACTAATATTAAAATTGCGAAATTTTTAAATAAAATATTCTCTTGTATTAGAAACGTTTTAAACTAACCTTTCTGATTTTACTTGTACTTTAATATTTTTCGTACACTATCTATAAAAATTTCATTTACAACAATTAGTACTTTTATATTAATAATTGAATAAATTGAAGAAATTCATTTATTTCAAAACCTCATTTTTATGGCAAAAACGATTTTTTATTAAAACGTTACTATAATGTTAATTATAATTATTTATACATAATTAATAAAGTTATAAATTCTTGTATTATATCAACTGATTAAAAATTTTTCTTCATTTTTATTAAATATTTCTAAATGTAAATATTAAATGGAAAAATTACACATAATTAGATCAATACTTACCTAATTCAAAATAAAGTATTTTATTATAAAGTTATTATTTATTTATATTAGCTGATGATAATTTCATATAATGTAGAATACTTAAAAATCCTTCATTAATTAATCATGGAAATAGTATTGTGGTATACTGTATAAGAAATAATTCTAACGATTCTGGACATTGATATGATGTATGTGAATTCTATTTATTATACATATTTACTGACAGCAAATGTAACGTGTAGATATTAAAAATCTTTATGACAAATAATTATGTCGAAATATTAAAAGCATAAAGATTTAAATATTTAAATAAATTAATTATTTTACACAACACTTTCATAGTATTAATATGAATCTTATAGATGTTGGTTTAATAATTTCAAGCTCACAAATTGGTTTTTGTGTACTTCATACAATGTTTTTTTAATTTTAAATTGTCATACAACTGTCGTAATTTTCTACATTTACAGACATATGAATTGACTACATTCACGTTTTTTATTTTATTTTATTCCCGCATTACTTTGTTTATTTATTATTCCTTTTGCTATGATATATTGAAAATCAATTACTTACAATTATATATTTTCTTCCATCAAACTATGGTATCTTTTTTCTTTTTTAGTTTTAAATTATTCTCAAAACATTTGTTAGAAACGAAGGCCACTGAATTCAGAATCAGTATTGAGCTATGACACAGATTTTATTTTTCTTTCGATTCTTTGAGCGAAAAACCGCTTATTTTTTTCTTTGTATCGTAATTTTCTTCCATATTATATGATTCATTAAAAATCTTTATAAAAAAAATAAACATTAGGCCAAGATATTTTGTATTCACAATTGTTTCCATGTAAAGTTCAAAAGTATATGGTGAGCTCCAAAATATCGATGTATTAAACAATCTTTTTATTATTTGTGTAAATAATTTATTATAATTTAATTTAAAATGAAATCTTATAATATAATAAAGCTTTAATTTCAAATTCTGTTTAACGAAATATTTATTTATTTAAATGTTTATATATTTGAAATTACAAAATTAAAATATTTTTTGTATCAATTCATTATAATTTCATTATATAAATACAATAATAGTAAATCTATTAGAATTAACTTGAAGATCAAAACTTTTAATTTTAATATAGTTTTTAGTTCATAACAAGAGTGAAAAACTTTTACGTTTATATTATTATTTTATAAACTGTTAAGTAGAATATTCTTATATTATTTATGTTTTAATGTAAATATTGAATTTTCAATATTTTGAAACTCATACGATTACAATACTTAAAACAGTAGCATACATTTTTTATCATAAATGAAGTATATTTTTGTTATATTGAATTTAATGAATAACAAATTTTAACGCCGCTTTTGGTGAGATAGTTTCGATTTATCGATTGATCACAAAATTGGATATTGTCATATTGTTGCAATCAATACTTAATAATGAAAATTAAAAATAATACAAAAACAGGCCATCTCTTAAAATACTGATTGCCAAAAGCCCTTAGTATAGCATGTATAATATTTTGTTCCATTTCTTTAAAATATATATTATATTAAAATGAAATGTACATAAAAATACAAATAAAATAATTATTAATAATGAGTTTTTTTATTTGACATGGATATACACATTATACGTATTATTGGAAAGCAATAAAAAAATTATTATATACTCATTAAATAATATCACATAAAAACATATTTAAAATTATAAAATAATATAAAGACTTGATTATCAAAATATAAATAATACATTTTTTAATTTTGTACAATTATAAGAAATAAGTAAATACTATATAATAAAATTAATAATTAATACAGTAATTCATAATAACAATCTGCTTCATAAATATTTCTTTAATGAAATATTGTCATTATTACTATGATATTTAAAATATCAAAAGTAGTAACAATGTTTTATTTGATATTTTACAATTTAATAAAAAGTATTGATTATGTTTTTTTAATTAAACAACAAAATTATTGACAAAACGGAACAGTGTCAGAATACTAAATTTTTAGAAACTATATAAAAAGTTCATTGTCACTCTTCGATCACACGTATGTACATTGTAATATATTAAACGAATTACGTTTGAAATCTTTATGCTGCCTACATTGAATTATGTAAATAAATACAAGATAAAACACTTGCTCACAACAAAAAGCATCTTATTATATAATTTTCTTGGCCAGGCACAAAAAGGTTAATCTCAAGAAGTATTTATGTTATTTTATTCCGTTTGCTAATTACTTCCTGAGTTTTCATTTTTCATGCTACAAGTGGATCAAATTTAATTTTACCAAAATTGATGAAGATTTCCAATTATTATTATAGAATATGTTTTAAGAACATTTTTTTATTTTTCTTCTATAGTATGCCTAGTCAAAGTTTTCAAGATCCAAATGTTTTTATAATATATATATATATATATATATATATATATATATTATAAATATTTATTAGAATTTAACTTATTTTTAATAAAAAACGATTAACTCTACTAGAAACATTGATTATATTATAAAATGCAATCTTATCGAGATCGATATTGTTATGGCAGTGAAAAATTTCGATACGTATTCGATTCAATTTTTATTTAAAAGTATTAAGAAACAACTAATTTAATAATTAACATGTAGTTCCACTTTTAGCATATGGTTTCTGTACAATGATGTATTATAAAAGTATTATACGGGGCATCAATATTAAATCTCTAAACAAATAAAAACAATATTTCAATTCAGTCCCTTGATTTTGAGTCTACGAACCTCTTTATAAATTTTTAGTGTACCCTTATTTAAAAGAAACATTTCTTTTTGTTAAAAATATCTAATTAACTATTAAATACATCAAAGCTAGTACACATACTCATATATACATATAGTATTTCTATTTTCCATTGAAAAAAATTAATTTTATCAGTAGTAATAAAATTAATTGTTTGAAAGATAAAAAGTTTTTTCATTTAATTATTTAAAATAATGTTTTTAAATTGTTAATTTTTAGTTTTTATAGGCCTCTTATGCAATTCCTGATATAAATTTTAATGGTTCACTAATTATTGAATCTAATATTTCACTGATACCTAACATTTTTTCTTATTCTTATTTTTATTTATCACTTCATAACGCACAAAAGTAATTTTTCCTCTTTACGTCACTTTTTATTATCGTATTAAAAGAGATAGATGAACAGCAATATCTCATCTCTGCCTTCTCGCATAATTATTTAAAAAGATCTCTGTATTTTTACATATTATGTTGAGAAAATAAGTTTTTATTGTATACATAGAAAGTTTATTTTGGTTAATTCTACTAGTAAGAGGCTAGTTTGCACAAAGATCACCTAATATTCAATCATCTTTTTTTAAAATTTTCTGTTAAGAGATATTTTTTATATTTGTAAATGAGCATTACATAATTCAAATACCTAATTCAGATATAACAAATGCAGTAGACAAACAAAATAATAAAATCCCAGATTTTCATTCATTTTAAAGACCTTCATTTTTTTATTATTATTCTTTTTTAATAATATATGTAAAATTAATTTCTATAAAAAAGAATGTGCTTAAGTATAGAATACATTCACAGAGAAACAAAATTAATAAAAGCCATATGTGCATTTTGTATACTACTTACGATATTTGAGTGCCCTGAACTATGAGAGCCTGATCTCTGATAGTAATTGCCATTATTATACAATAAAATGTCAGTTAATAAATGGTCTATTACAGCATCTAAATCTACACCTACAGTCGTGTGCTCATCTTAAAACTTTGGTATATCCTACAAACGTCCGCCGAGTATGTCGTTTGCGTGTTCTATTCGAAACTGTCCTTTCAGTAGTGTACTTTCAAGTTATCAATCGAGGACTATGAAGTCCTTCGACTTGCGTATCGATGGGTGGACAGTGCTGGGTATCTGCAGGACCCCAATCATGAAGATTCCCACTATTCGCCAGTCGATGCGTTAAACGATGCGCTATCGAGAAGCCGCCACTGCCTTCCAGTTGAGTTAATACTATTATTACCTGCCTGTAAACGTCCAAGAATTCCATTTTAATTACGAAGAACTTTGAGGTTTTCAACCAAAATATCGTCTTTCTATGACGGTTAATCTACTATTTACATGAGATATAAAATACTTATTATTATGTATTTTATAATTTTACATCATTTTTAAATGATAGAACCTCTTTTATAACTCTTTTTAATTTTTAAAACTGTTTACATGTAAATTAATTATAATCTGATATTTTAAATTACATCCGAACGATAATAATGTTTGTCTTACTGTAACCTAATCAGTGATAGTATTTGTTAGAATTCATTTTAATTTTTTAAATTTTAGCTATTTTTACAATTTCACTAATGTAAATATCTTTTTATTTTAATAATTCTTTTCATAATTATTTGAATGATAAAATGGATCCATATAATGGATATCAAATAATATACTGAATTACACTGACTCGTATATATTAATTAAGAAGCATAATTTATCTTTTATTATCATTGATTTTATTATTAATATTGTTAATATTATTACTGTTGTTATTGTTTAGATTACAATTTATTTTATTCTGAGTTACTGTTATTATTTTTTAATGACATGGCCGATTAATATTATTTTATTAATAATAAAGAACAGCTTGGTTATGTATATATTTGAAAATACGTGTATATATATTTAGTAAAATTTATTATCACGAAATATGTAAGTATATATCCTACCGATGAAGTGGAGGAACACTATCTGCAGTTCTAAGTTGTCCCCGTGTGGATACAACGTTATAACTTTCATGGCAATCACATTTTACATGAATCCATTTATTAATGTGGCGGTTCTCAACCATAACAACCAAACCAGCCCAACCTTTGGTTAGATAATAAGCGGTCATACCTTCTCTTCCCTGTAAAATTATGTTTTAACACACGTACCATTTTATTTATATTTAATTATATTTACGAAAATGTTTTGATTTTATAATCAAGTTAATCTTTTCTTTTATAATAAAATAATGTTGATGTGTATAGTTGCGTATATTCTTTAAATATTGTGTTAATATATTTTTAAGTGGAAATTTTCATAAAATAGCACATTTTCATTGAAATTTTAAAACAAACGATAAAACATTTTACACCAAAATATATATTATTCTTGCTCTTAATTTATTATAAGAATTAAAATTTAACTGTTGTTGATTAATACATCTTAAAATCTAATATTCTATCTATAGTTATTAATTTTGCAACGTTCCTACAAGCGTATTATTTTTTTATTGATTAAAATTAAATTTGGAATGAAAAAAAATTTATTAATATTGACCTCATGACGTTGGCCCTTAGCAAGAGTAAGGCTAATGATGGCGTCAGCGAGTACAAAAGCTGGTGGTGAAATCTGCTCAACAAGGAGCCTTTTAGAACTGTGTATTGCTAGCACATACTCGGGGTAACTGGAAGTATCTTCCATACCAGTATGCCAATGGTTGAAAGCAAGGCAGACAACGATATAAAGATCACGCTCGAGCATTTTGTGACACCCGACAAAGCCACGCACCTGACGCTTACTGTGCTCCACGAGTCGGCCGATCTCAGGAGCCGCTGGTGATCGTGTTCGAAATACAACTACACATAAATCTAACTGCGATCGTTGCGACTTTTCCGAATTTCTACAAGTAAAGAGAATAGATTTTTCTAACTACAAAAATTAAGCTCTTTTAAGTACAAAATAAAAAATAATTGATGCATACATAAATAAGATATCAAGTAAATATTTAAATATTTTTTATAATAAATCACTATTCAATTTCATATTTCAATAATTAAAAAAATTAACCAATCATTCAGGTCAGTAATTTTTATATATGCTGATATTGTACAAATTAATAAGACAACTTCAACAATTTTTTATTTTTTTTAGAAAAATTTTTTGCAGTAAATTGAATTTTTTTAAAGCAGAAACAGCAATTAAAATAAAAAATAGAATAATTTTTTTATAAAACAGAAAATTATAAGAATTTCTCAATTATAATAGTAAATAGTGATATATTATAGATCATATAATTTGAGAGTTCTCATAACTGATAAATGCTCTTAAAAATATTATTCTTAGGAAGTAATTTATAATCTAAATTTCAATAAAATTAATGAAAGTTAATTACCGCTGGCCCTCTTGAAAAAGGGTGAATTCGGTTTCGGTGGGTTCGAGCACCGTTAGTAGTACACATGACAAATGACTAAGGGACGACAAGGGAGGTAGGGTTCCTCGTAGTCTGACTTCACTCCAACCTACACGGGTCTTACAAATGTCGATGCAATCAAAGTATCTAAGTACATCATCGAAAGATATCCAGAAGACTCCGTCCGAAGCGCCGTGTGGCATCAACATTTCACGCAACTGGATTGTCCAAATAGGACTATCGTCCGACCACTCGCCTTTCCAGCTATAGTGTCCCCAAGGGTTTCGCAGTCGGAGCAGCCTAATTCCCTGTAATACAATTAAAGTTTTGCTTTAGATACGCACCTACTGTGTTCATGTTCAACTATAAAATTGAGGTTACTCGTCAAAAGGATAAAGGGTTTCAACGGGTTGACTTTAAAATACTTTTAATCATTTGAAATTATCATAGGATACGAAGGTGTAGAAAGCTAAGGACACAACTACATCGATAAAGATAATTATAGATTTAGAATATAATTTTGTCCTTTGGTATTTTTTACTTTAACGTTTTACATTTTCAGTATGAAATGACAAAAGTATTTTTTAATCAGGCCTGTTCGGAAATTTATCTTTTTGCCGAATCACGCTGCCACATTGCTTAGTTTTCTGCTTTATGAACTTACTTGCACATCACGAACATCTAATACAGAATATGCATGTCTGAAAAATATTAAAATAAAAATTAACATGAAAATGAAAATATACAATTTAAATATAGCCAATTAATTTATTGTATATTGGTAGTTAATTTAAATTTTAATTAAATATCAAATTCTTTTTTATAAGTTCTATATTTTAAAAACCTTTTTCTAATAACCTCATAAATAATTCAATAAAACTTGTAGGATACAATTAAAAAAAATTTATATAAAATAATTTCATAGATAACTAATTATTTATAAATAATGTAGTGAATAATTTAATGTATTTCGGTTTACATATTATATTGAAACTTGTTTTTAAAACTTCTATAAACTTACTTTTTTCTTATATTTCATTTATAATACTTTCAAATTTTCCATTATTTTACAAACTGTATTTGAATGTATTGGATGAACACATTAACTAAAATAAGATGTTAAAAAATTATTACATTTGACAAACTATAAATTAAAAATTGATATTTTTATTAATAATTAATTTAAGTTAAAAACGTCGTTAAAAAACTTAATTTCTTACTCTAATAAAGAGTAGGAGAGAAAGTCTTAATATTGGAGTTGATTAAATGTAAAAAGTTTATAAAATAAAGGTTGTAAGTTAAATTGAAGACGATGTATAAGAAATTTAACCTTGGTCGTAAGCCCTTCTTTTGGTATTCGTCTTCATCAACCTTCATATTTCCACCACCACAGCTCGCACCCATAAGAAACATAGCCTGCCGCGAGGAAAGTAGCTGAGCCCAAATGAGATCCTTATCAAGCTCGTCCTCACTCGGTAATGCTGACGGCTGCAAAGGCACACTTTCACAAGGAGCTCCAGTTAGAGTCGCGAGACCCTCAATTGCCCGTCCAGAAACGAGAGCCTCATAGCAACCGTGAAGTTTAGCTACAGCTTTCTCGATTAGAGGCACCCATAGCTGTTTTCTTTTAGCCTAAATGTAAGACGCATTTAGCTACATTTTTATTCTCTAATTTTCTAAAACAATTGTTTCTTTTAACTATTGTTTTTCTTTTTGCTCTATAAATAACATGTCTATAATACAAAACATATTGGTAATTTATTGCTAACTTAGATCCATTATGATTTATTTTTAATTAAGATTAACATAAGTAGTGAAACAATACAATGATCTTAAAATAATGTAGAAAAGTTTAGTTGACTTAAAATATACAATAATTGAACATTTTTTCTTTAAAAAAATTTATTAATATTTGGTATACTATTTCACTTGCTACTAGTTCACTAATATATAATTACATTTTTTATCGTTAAAACAATAAGGTATTGTACATTTTAAAAAAAATTAATTTGTTTTTGTAGTTGCAATCGTCGTTAAAGCTGAACTTATACCTGAGAGTAAACAAGATGTCCCCTTTTGTCACAAGGCAGAAGATCATCGACAAGGACGGTGGTCCATTTACCATCTTTGCAAAGTCGAACCTGGTAAGCACCTTCAGGACAAGTTTGCCTCATTACAAGAACACGCCTCACAAGTTCATCACTTTCGGCAAGAACTGCGAGAGCCGATAACAACCAACAGTTACCGAGGACTCCTTGGGATATATCAGAGGGCAATGGTGTACGAAAAATTGCCCAGGGTAGCATTGAATCCACGCTGGGGTCAACAGTAATTTGGTATGGTCGCTTCCATTGGACGACGTGATTATCTTTTGAATCCAGAGGATTATAGTAGAGAGATTTGGGTGCTGGAGGGAAGGAATCATCCACAAAGGGCTCATTTGTCTAAAAATAATAGAACACTCACTATTTAATGTAACGTTATACAAGAGCAAGAGCAAGTTGTTTAATATTCTATATCAAATGAAAAATATTTATAAATAATAGCTGTAAAAACTAAGATATTAAGATTTTTAATTTCATAAACATTTCGTAGTTAATGTGTTAAAAATATATCTCACCTCCTTGCAGTATCTAACGATTCTTTCCCATTTCTCGAGAGCTTCTCTTTCCTCGATCTGACGCAGATTTTCCATAATGACACTTTCTTGACGCTGTATCCTCAGAGTACTAGCACTAGGTTCTTGATGGATTCGCATTCTATCTCCGACAGCTTGTGATAAGCTTTTAGAATTTTGGCACATCTCGCAGCTGCCGCTTGTGCTCTTATTGTCATACGTACACAACTTACATTGCCACTATTAAATAAATTATGTTATAATCAAATTATGATATAATTAAAATTTATATTTTTATGATGCAATTAAATTATGATGCAAGAAAAAATAGTAGTTTTAATAATCTTATATATATTATCAAGTTAAAAATAATAATCTATGTATACAAATATATAAATATTAAATTCTTTGAAGGAACCAAGTAATTTATAAATTTGAATTTAAAAAATATTAAAAATTTTATGAAAAAAACGTACCTGCGCACTCAAGTCCTTGTTTTTAAAATGTTTTTTATCATTACCAATAGCAGCATTGGTAGCATTAGTAATTGATCCACTGGATCCATTCTTTTTGACAGAGTTCCTGTGCCTTGGAGTAATCATTTTTTGAATGGGATTAGTAACCGTTGCAGCTATAACATTAGTCAACCTTGGACTGGGGCTCCTCTGCGATACCTTTTAATAAGTAATTATATTCACTGTATTTATCTTGAACCTCAAGGTGCACAGAATAATGATCAACAGGTACCTGCTGTTGATGAGGCTGTATACTTGCATTTTTAATTTCCTTCGGCAATTCCAGAAAATCAGCCAGATTTTTACAGGCATTACAAACTTGCGCAGTGAGAGGATTGCGCAGTGTGCAGGAAGGGCAGATCCAGCACTCACCTTTGCGTAGTGTTGGGTCCTCAAGGTGGAAATTAATGCTACGTAGCTTCGAGCCTCCGCAGGCTTCACAGGTAGCTCGTGATGTTAGGTTTACAAGGGTGCATTTTTTACATGTCCATGAAGGCAAAGGTACCTCCGATTGATCCTCCGAATCGGATTCAGCAGTAGCTAGAGTAGCAGCCTTGGTTGGGACATAGCGCACACTATCCTGTGATATAGCTATCGGTGATTCCAATTGATTGCGAGATGTGCCATTTTTGCCCGCTGAAAAGTTCCCCCCTCGCCGTTCAATGAGTCTTTCTTGTTGATTCATGGAGCTTCGAGACAAGAGAATGACTACAATTTTAGAAATATTTTTATATAAAATTCATCTTTTAACTTTTCGTGGTCTATCTGCTGTGAAAACTATAATGCATTTCGTTTGTGGGCAATTTAATAAAATTATACACGTGCTTTCTCGAATTTAATCAAATTTTCAATTGTAACATTAGTCATTGACTATTTGTATTAATATACTGAAACATAATACTTTGCATAATTATAAATCACCTATGATCTAGTATATAAATATTATTTTATTATAGATTTAAAATATAAAAATTATTTTTACTACTCAATTTTCAAATGAACTTTTAAGTGAATTTAAAAACTAGTTTAATTTAGAAGAAAAAGAAATACTATAAAACTATTTATGTATCTATAAATATTATATACATTATTAAAATTTGATTTTTATACAATGTTATTAAATTTATTACATTTGCGAATCATATTTATTTAAGCATAAAAATATTTGATTTCAATAGTAATTTAAAGATGACACATTTCTATAAAGTAAGTGTCAATATCAATTGTTATTCCAATAAAGGCAATCACTATTCTTGTTATAATTAAAATCCGAAAATATATAATTTCAAGATTAAGAAAAACACTTTTTATCGCAAGTGTATTAAATAAAAATCTATCTTTTCATATGGTTCTATTTTCTAATAATAATATATCCGAGATATTTAAATACACTGCAATATATGATTATGATAATGAGAATTACCAGGATTAGTTAATGTGATTGAACTAGGTTGGGCCAATGTGGGAGGTGACCTCGAAGAATTGCAGATATCACAGCCTGACGACCAGAGAGGATTATATGCATACGAGCATTTTTTGCAAGTCCACATGCGCTTGAGGGGATTGAGCATATGTTCTGAAGGAGCGGGCAAATTACGGACCTGCTGTTGATTGGCACCAAGCATTCGAGCGCCCTGTTTCTTGGGAAGTGGCGGTGGCATATCTGACTCTCCAATACCAATGCATGTATGCTTGTGTCTAGAACCGTTGAAACCACCTGAATGCGGTGGCACTGCCGGTGGCTCATCATCGTTTAAACTCCGCCGATTCGATGCTTTACGCTGTGCTACACACACCACAGAATCTACATCTGAAAATGACCTCCTGCAACAAACGAATAGAAATTGAAAGTTTATAGGCTATCAATGTAAGAAATCCAAAAAATATTAGTCAAAGTATTTCAGTGTCAAAAATACTACATGTAATAATATTTTAGATATTTGCTTAATACACCATTTCTAAAACAGGTCTATATTTATGTAAGTTTATAATTATCTATAATTATTTTTTACTCTTGTTATTACTATAACTTATTAAAGCACACAAATATATATTAATACATATATTAATCTTAGTATTTTCCATATTTATTAAACCTATAATATTGTTTTTATAACACATTTAAATTTTTGTTTCGAATATGAAATATCGTATTTATCATAAATTCAAATAAATATTAGTTCGATTCAACTTTAAATAAAACCTGCAATAAGGAATTTTATAATTGACTCAGCGATAATAAATTTTACCAATATAGCTTAAGTTGGCATTGTCCATTACAAAATAACTCACAATAAAATGGTATTTTAATTGTTTGTAAATAAATTTTAATTGTTTGCAAATAAATTTTAAATTTTAATTGTTTTAATTGTTTGTAAATAAATTTTAATTGTTTGTAAATAAATTTTAATTGTTTGTAAATAAATTTTAATTGTTTGTAAATAAATTTTAATTGTTTGCAAATAAATTTTAATTGAATAAATATAATACTCCTAAATAGGGATTGAAATGCTCAACTTACCGATAAGGTAGTGGACCCGCGAATGATAGCGTTCTAGGCTCCCAAGCGGGCACGCTGATGACGACGCCGCTACAGGGGGCGGGACTCCTAGGAGCCTCGCAGGCTTCACATTGTTCGAGCCCCGGATCGTTATCGAGGGTGCAGTTGTCACAGCTCCAGAGACTTTCGTCTACTACTTGGCTCATTTCCGTAACGATTAAACTCGTAGGTCTCGTAGCGGGATCATTGACATCTGAGGGAAGCTTCTGCATGACTGCCCCGTTTGACAGTGAACGACTTACCTTCGACTTTACTCGTTCATATATCGATAGGCTGTGGCGCTTTGGTGACCGTTGTGACGGATGGCTGTAATTGATAAACCCACCAATATTTGTATACTGACCCTGCATCCAAGGAACTTCATGCAAAGCAATTTTTATGAGGACTGACTCATTGCCTATTAGAAGAATAATGTTGGGAGTATAAGATGTGTTCACTGCGTAGAAATAACTATATTGTAGTATTATTATAAAACTTGATGTTATTAAACGTATTAAATCATAGATATAATTAAATATAAAAATTAGAAAGCAAATTTTATTTAAAAAAGTATTTCCCGACGAAATTGTGAAGATTCTATCTTGAATAGGCAAAATTTAATTGAATTTAATTGATCACATAGTAATACAGAAATTATATAAGTTTATGAATGAATATGATTCATCATTTTAAATTTTCATCACTTTTCATGGACGTATTACATATATCTTATTAATGTTTTGTAAGTTAAAAATAAATAAGATAATTTAAAAAAAAATAGAAATACATCTTCATTATCAGATTTAAATGTCTATATTTTAAGTACACTTAATGTATACATATATATTAATTTTTATAAAATATTTTTTATTTTTATATCTAAATATAATTATAAATTGTATATATTTTTTAATTATTTACATTTTTCAATATAAAATAGAAAATTGTAATAGTAATTATAAAAAGAAAAAAAAGTGTTACGACTTCCGCCAAATGAATGATCAATAAAGTTCGTTGTACATGTTATAAATACTTTAAATAAAATAAGGATCAATAATAAATTAAATTGAAGAACCTTGGATTATTGATGCTGGAATCGATGTAACTGGCTGATGGATTGGAATGTAATGTTTCGATCGGTGCTAGTGTCCAATCTTTACGATTGTTGCCGCTGTCGTGTGTTTGTTCACTACGATCGATACTCTTCAACTGAGCCATATCTGTAGGATGAAACCACTGATTAGTATCTTGTTTGTTTTCTTGTTAAAAGAACATTTTTCTTAGAAACTGCAATTTTTACATATGAAAAAAAAGAGAAAAATAATTAATCTTTTACACAAGATTTAAAAAATTTTTTAGTATAATATCTACATCTATTTTAATTCTAATTTTTGGGTTTTCTATTTCATAATAGAAATATAGACATCTTAAATTTCATTTTTTCTTATTCGCCATATATTTTCAATTTATAACTGTATAAAGTGAATTTTTAATCTAATTTACAATAAAACAGAGCAAAAGTTAATGCAAAAATTAATTATCTTTTATTAGTTGTGTGTATAATATTCATGTATTAAGATGTATGAAATTATTTGTTTATTATCAAAATTGGCATAGAAAAACAGTAAACTTTTAAAGATTTCACTGTTAAATTGTTCAACTTATTCCACAAATTAAGCGCATATTACTAACAATTAAATCTTTTAATGAATTAAAAAAAAATGTATTAAATAATATAAAATTACTTATTTTTATTTTTAAATTAAAATAATTACTCACACTTTGCAAAATTTATTATCAAAATAAAAAATTACAATCTATTGTTTAATGAAATTATAAATTGTAGATTAAAGCTGTTCTTAAATACATAAATTATAAATATCATATTTATCTCTGAAAATTTAAATCTAAGGTATTTGTCTCCCATTCATACCTTGTGACTTTTTGATACTATGCTCTATTAAAATTTTCCCATTACTACTTGTATCCAAAACTCGTGTGACAGATCCACTAGTGACTTTAGTCACAAGATCAAGTTGTGTCCTTAATCCATTATTTTTTGTTGTATTTAACCTTCGACATTTTCTGACTCCTATCTGAGTAGTTTGCGTTTGTGATATTGATGAACTAGCACCACATGCTGTACAAATTGGGGTTGCTCTACAGCAATTATCTAGTAAGCAGCGAATACATGTCCATTGATTAATTAGTGATGGTAATGATGATGTCTTTTTAACTGAAGATCTATTTTCACCTATTCCTGACCAGGAATTTCTTCGCTGGTTTGTACTATTTCTTTTATCACTACCAATAAAAATTTAATATCACTATAATAGTTTTTTATTTTAATTAGTACAAAAATATTTCATTTATTTAATATTATTAATAATTTATTAATAAACTAAATCAATTAAATTATTTTTACAAAAGTAGAATTATATACCTTAGTACAATATAAGTTTCGTATTGGTTTTGTTGTAGTGCTGGTATAGATAATACTTTTATTGAATTCTTTAGCTTTAGGGTAGCTGACGTATTGAAATTAATGTGAGTATGATTTAATGAGGTCAGATGCTTTGGTAGAAGTATAGGAGGGCTGGATGATTTTGAGGACAAATATATTTCATTGTTTAATCTTGGGCTATCTGGGCAGTAGGTCAAGGAATCGGGAATAAAAAGATAAGTCGACGTAGCTCTCTCATTGTTTTTTGTACGAGATAAGCCACATCTTGTACATTGGAGAGACTCAGTTGGGTTTATCAGAGAGCACTCCGAGCAATGCCACTGAAGCACCGAAGCAATCGAACCCATTCTCCATATGTAGACATGGCTCTTTCTTCCTTGAAATAAAAAGTTTGAATAAAGTTAACTTAAATTGAAAGATTTCGAATATTTTTTAAATAATTCATGACATATTTAATATAATCAAAACTTAATTTTCATAAAAAAAAATATTATTAATTGATATAATCAAAAAAATATAATTCAACTAAACTGACGGACTATATTTATAAATTAAAAAACTTCGATTTTATATTTTTACTTTTATTTTTATAACATAGATATTTGTAACCATATTTTAATGAATTGATATGTTATTATATTGAAAATAAATAACAAATTATACAAAGTATTTTATAGTTCTTATATAAAATAATAAATAATGTAAAAATAGAAGCTGTTTAATAATTTTATGAAATCATTTTAATATTGGTAACAATATATTATTAATGATAATTTATTTAAACATGGGCAAGTTATATTATGGGTATATTGATATATTTAAACGTACAAGTATAATAAACCTTTAAATAAATTAGTTATTGTCAAAAAGTAAGATTTGTATTACATTCTACAAAACTCAATTTTCATTTATCTGTTCATAAATTATATCACAAAATATAAATTTAAATTTTAAAATGACAATATTAAAATTTGTATTATTAATCATAGTTTGATTTTTTTACAAAAACTTTATACATTGGTTAAAACGTTGCATTTAAAAATATAGAAAAGATCGATAATGTTAATTACTTATTCTATAAAAATTTCTATAAGTTTAGTGCATATTACGTTAGAGAAAGAACTCACAATATTTAAATCATTTTGGGATATTTAATGAAATCACTTGGTCATCAGTCATTAAAAAGAAAAAGATATTTATAGAAGTGATATTTCAAAGTTATAGTTGATACTGAAAGAGAATAGTAAAGATGGTAATATTTGTTTTTGTTTACAAATACATTTATATCGATTCATAGCTGTAAGTAAAATATAAAATATGAGCACGCACATTAACGCACCGATTTCTGAGTTTAATAACAATAAAATCGTTCAATTATTTTTACTTGACACACTCGCAAGGTGGAGAAGGTACGATTTAATATTAATAGAACGGTCTCTTTAATGTTTCCTTGCCTCGTAGCTATCGTACATTAGCAAAACATTGCAGCACTCTGACCGTCGCCATCCCTCTCGTTCTGCGACCAATCTCAACCTACCCCCGTCACATTACAAGTCTAACACAACATCATCCAATGTATGCAGGAAGCTGGAGAGACAAGGCTAATTGATAATAGGCTATCCAATTAGGAGCGAGATGAAGATATACTTTCTCGTTCATCAACAATCACTTCCAAGTCTAAAATTACAAGGCGTAGAGGTACCTATAGGCTCTAACTGCACTGAGTTCACTTTTCGCGGTTGCAGTCGATGGTGGGGCAGTACGGTTGCAGGAGGGGATCTTTCTTAATGTGACTGGCCTTTAGCTTGATGTTTTTGGCATCCATGCATGAGAAAACTTGACTATTTTATCAGACATTGTCAGAGGTTCAAACGCGAATTCGATGCTGTTTTTCCTGAAACCGTTCAACGATCAGTTCGCTATTCTTTCTCATATGTTCTCGGACCGCCATTTTCCCACACAGGCGTGTGAGCCTACAGTGTAAATGGGCTAAAGAAAAGGAAGAGAGAGCATGACGAATGATGAGGGGAAGAGCAGAGGGAGGATTGGCGAGGAGGGGAGAGGAGAGTAGGCGCGATGTGACAAGACGAGAGGAGGGGAGTGAGAAGTGAAAAGTGAAAAGTGAGAAGTGAGAAGTGAGGAGTGTGGAGTGAGGTGTCTGGTGAGAAGTGAGAGGAAAGCGATTAGAGTGCGTGAGAGAAGGGAACGAGGGATGAGAGTG